TTATAATAAGGATCCTACTATTTAGGGTACTATATTAAAGTCCCCTATTTTCGGAAACCTCCATATTATTATGAGATATGTAAATATAATATATTCGCATTATATACAAGAATATGTTTTTCGAAGAAAGAGAAGAAGAAGAGAGTAAAAGAGTGAAATAGAAAAAGAAAGATCAAAGCCTACGAGCGCAGAGCGACAACACAAGCGAATATCCCGTATAGCGATTTAAAAACATAGTATTTCAGAAGTAATCCCTCTTAGGAGAAATTGTGTCGCGTCATCTGTACTCAGTTATTCTACTACTATATCAAAGAATCTGTAGGAAGAGATATCAAGATTTCCGTAGCCTCGATTTATTTTAACGAGAGTTATCTTTTCTGGCACCCCCATCGCCATATCTTGCGAATTGAGGCTGTTTGGCAGGACCAAAGCTTTTAGCATCTCTCATATTACCGGTGGCCAATATAATCTCCCGCTCGGTCACTGTCAAAGCCTCTTTGTGCAAAGGAACAGCTCAGTTTGGAGTGGCTGTTCCGGTTGGGCATCTGTCCCGTTTGATCACGGAGATCGCTTGGGCCATATGCATCCCTTTTTTGACAAAACACGGGTGCTGGCATCCGCCACTGCAAGACAAGACCAGTAACTGTTAGTTGACAACAAAGTTTGTATAGTGAACGATTATAGTGCGCTGTTCAAAAACAAGTCTTACTTCGTGCTGGCCAGCTCACCCGGCTGAACAGCTGGACCCTACCATACATTGCCGTAGATGTGACGGCACGGCGCAACAAGCACGATCCAAGCATTCTGGTCTAGGTATATAGCGAGCAAGATTCCAAGGTTGACCAAGTCTGTCTGTAGTCGACTACGCAGAGACCGCCGTGCTCACAAAGTTACTAAACGGCCTGCCCCGTTGAGGAAGGCAGATCAAAACAACACAAGTTGCATGCTTTGGCTTTGTCCTTCCTTGCGATGCAAACAGCAGCCGTTTCACTGACTTCCTGAAAAAGGCACTGGATAACTTTTCGCCTTCGGCGCAAGCAGCTATAAATGTTTCAGAGAAGCAAAGACTCCTTGGAGCAGCAGCTCCGACATTGGTCTGTGCTTCCCGTGTCAGCGAACGGGCTCTAGTGTGAAGTCGCCGGACATCAGATCGATGCTACCATCCGACAACTCGCCGTCCCCGCAATCGTCGTCTGAGCCGAACCTTGGACAATGCCGTGATCACCAAGAAAGTCGACAACGTCATGGTCTTATGAAAGGCCAGGAACAGAGAGAGATCGGAGGGACACAGAATGCGCGGCACACCAACCATCTGTGGATTCCAGGACGGCTCCAGCTGCCCCCGGATCGTCGGTGCCGGAGCTTCTGGAAGACAGCGCGGGCTGGCACCTCAAGGCTCATCAATTTCCACTCGCAGTCACATGGCTGCCAGGGTTCCAGGAGTTGGTGGAGCTGAAAGAAAGCGCAATATTGCCAAGCCTCGATTACTCCCAACACGAGACTACAGCGCACCTCCAGCTGTGTCCGCAGAATCCCGCATCGCTGGCGGCATGGGCACCGATGGCACCGGCGTTTTCGGTCGCGTCTCTGGCTTTGGAGGCACAGTGTTCACAGCCTGCAGGTACCCCAGCAGATCAAACTACGCATCCTATTCTTCTGCTCCATTCACGGACCCATATCAAGGCCAAGCATCGACGTCTTGCATCGTTGCTGAAGCTTGCAGCCCGGTGCTGATCACGGCACGCGGGCTGGTTTGCACATGGGCAACGCTGACCTTCGCCTTCACCTGCAGGCAAAGCTGTCAGGGCCGTGTGGCTCTGAAGTCGACTCCCCATGCCTCATCTATGGCAGCATGAACAGCAGCATCAGCCTCGGAACAACTCAGTAAAAGCACTCGCATCAGCCTTAGGGTGACGGATCAAAAAAAATTAAATTTGGATCAAAAAAATTAAAGCACAAAGATCAAAAAAAATAAAAATTGTATCAAAAAACATTGAATCAGCACTTCGGCCACAGAATGACACAAAAAACAAGGGGTGATCGAATTTGGATCAAAAAAAAGCACAAGGACTCAAAAATTAAAAACAGTATCAAGAAGGTTAAATCGGTACTTCGCTTTTGCCCCCCTAAAGCGATGTCATGTGTCTCGACAAGTTACGAAAGCGAGCAGTTCATGTGGCTTCTCCCTCTCTTCGTTTTCCAGAGAGACCCACGTTGTCGTTTTACCTTTGTTTTCTTGTTTCTTGCTCTTAGCTTCCCAAAGCGAATACATCTGGTTTTCGCCCTTTTGCCTGTCGATGAAGACGTTTCATTCGTGAGAAATTTTCTATTTTTCGACATTTAAATCCCCTGAAGTGTTTTCGTGTGGCTTTGTCCTTGTTGTGCGTTTAGAAAAAACGTCTTTAATTCATTTCATCGACAGCTTAAGAAAGCGGGCAGGTTGCAGTTAAAGAACGGGGGGGGTTGAAGGGGGGGCGCAGCCACCCCCCAGTTGCAAACCTTCCAACATGAACTTTGTGTTTTGCCCGCTTATACCCCCCTAAAGCGATTTCATGTGGCTCGATCTTACCCCCGTAAAGCGGGATTCATGTGGCTGGAGAACTTAAGAAAGCAGGCGGTTTGCAATTAAAAAAACCGGGGGGGTTGGGGGGGGCGCGCAGCCCCCCCCATTTGCAAACCTTTCAACATGAGCTTTGCTTTGCTCGCTTTTGCCCCCCTAAAGCGATTTCATGTGGCTCCCCCTCTCTCCGTTATCCAAAGAGATGCACGTTTTCGTTTTACTTTGTTTTCTTGGTCTTGCACTCCCAAAGCGAGCACGTCTGGCTTTCGCCCTTTTGCCTGTCGGTGAAGACGTTTCATTCGTGAGAAGAAAACGGGGGGGTTGGGGGGGACGGCGCAGGCCCCCCATTTGCAAACCTTCCAACATGAACTTTGTTTTGCTAGGTTTACCCCCCCTAAAGCGATTTCATGTGGCTCGACAACTTAAGAAATCGGGCAGTTTGCAGTTAAAAAAGCAGGGGGGTTGGGGGGGGCGCAACCCCCCCCCAATTTGCAAACCTTCCAACATGAGCTTTGCTTTGCTCGCTTTTGCCCCCCGAAAGCGATGTCATGTGTCTCGACAAGTTAGGAAATAGAGAAGTTCATGCGGCTTCTCCCTCTCTTCGTTTTCCAGAGAGACTCACGTTGTCGTTTTACCTTTGTTTTCTTGTTTCTTGCTCTTGGCTTCCCAAAAATACATCTGGCTTTCGCCCTTTTGCCTGTCGGTGAAGACGTTTCATTCATGAGAAATCTTACGTTCTTCGAATTCAAATCCCCTGAAGTGTTTTCGTGTGGCTTTGTCCTTGTTGTGCGTTTAGAAAAAACGTCTTTAATTCATTTCATCGACAGCTTAAGAAAGCGGGCAGTTTGCAGTTAAAAAACGGGAGGGGGTTGGGGGGGGGGGCTGCGTTTGCAGTTAAGAAACGGGGGGTTGGGGGGCGCAGTCCCCCACATTTGCAAACCTTCCAACATGAGTTTTGCTATGATCGCTTTTACCCCCGTAAAGCGATTTCATGTGGCTGGACAACTTAAGAAAGCAGGCGGTTTGCAATTAAAAAAACCGGGGGGGTTGGGGGGGGGGCGCAGCCCCCCCCCATTTTCAAACCTTTCAACATGAGCTTTGCTTTGCTCGCTTTTGCCCCCCTAAAGCGATTTCATGTGGCTCCCCCTCTCTCCGTTATCCAAAGAGATGCACGTTTTCGCTTATTTTTGTTTTCTTGGTCTTGCACTCCCAAAGCGAGCACGTCTGGCTTTCGCCCTTTTGCCTGTCGGTGAAGACGTTTCATTCGTGAGAAGAAAACGGGGGGGTTGGGGGGGACGGCGCAGACCCCCCCATTTGCAAACCTTCCAACATGAACTTTGTTTTGCTAGGTTTACCCCCCCTAAAGCGATTTCATGTGGCTCGACAACTTAAGAGAGCGGGCAGTTTGCAGTGAAAAAAGCAGGGGGGTTGGGGGGGGCGCAACCCCCCCCAATTTGCAAACCCTCCAACATGAGCTTTGCTTTGCTCGCTTTTGCCCCCCGAAAGCGATGTCATGTGTCTCCACAAGTTAAGAAAGCGAGCAGTTCATGTGGCTTCTCCCTCTCTTCGTTTTCCAGAGAGACTCACGTTGTCGTTATACCTTTGTTTTCTTGTTTCTTGCTTTTGGCTTCCCAAAGCGAATACATCTGGTTTTCGCCCTTTTGCCTGTCGGTGAAGACGTTTCATTCATGAGAAATCTTACATTCTTCGAATTCAAATCCCCTGAATGAAGTGTTTTCGTGTGGCTTTCTCCTTGTTGTGCGCTTAGAAAAAGCCTCTGTATTTCATGTCATCGACAGCTTAAGAAAGCGGGCAGGTTGCAGTTAAAAAACGAGGGGGATTGGCGGGCGCGCAGCCCCCCCCCCCCCCCCAGTTGCAAACCTTCCAACATGAACTTTGTTTTGCTCGCGTATACCCCCCTAAAGCGATTTCATGTGGCTCGACAACTTAAGAAAGCGGGCAGTTTGCAGTTAAAAAACGGGGGGGTTGGGGGGCGCAGTCCGCCACATTTGCAAACCTTCCAACATGAGTTTTGCTTTGCTCGCTTTTACCCCCTAAAACGATTTCATGTGGCTGGACAACTTAAGAAAGCAGGCGGTTTGCAGTTAAAAAAGTGGGGGGGTTGAGGGGGGGCGCAACCCCCCCCCCCATTTGCAAACCTTTCAACATGAGCTTTGCTTTGCTCGCTTTTACCCCCCTAAGCAATTTCATGTGGCTCCCCCTCTCTCCGCTCTCCAAAGAGATGCACGTTTTCGTTTTACTTTGTGTTCTTGGTCTTGCCCTTCCAAAGCGAGCACGTCTGGCTTTCGCCCTTTTGTCTGTCGGTGAAGACGCTTCTTTCGTGAGAAGAAAACGAGGGGGTTGGGGGGCGGCGCAGACCGCCCCCATTTGCAAACCTTCCAACATGAACTTTGTTTTGCTAGGTTTACACCCCCTAAAGCGATTTCATGTGGCTTGACAACTCAAGAGAGCGGGCAGTTTGCAGTTAAAAAAGCAGGGGGGTTGGGGGGGGCGCAGCCCCCCCTATTTGCAAACCTTCCAACATGAGCTTCGCTTTGCTCGCTTTCTGCCCCCCTAAAGCGATGTCATGTGTCTCGACAAGTTACGAAAGCGGGCAGTTCATGTGGCTTCTCCCTCTCTTTGTTTTCCAAAGAGACTCACGTTGTCGTTTGACCTTTGTTTTCTTGTTTCTTGCTCTTGGCTTTCCAAAGCGAATACATCTAGCTTTCGCCCTTTTGCCTGCGGTGAAGACGTTTCATTCGTGAGAAATCTTACATTTTCGAAATTTAAATCCCCTGAAGTGTTTTCGTGTGGCTTTGTCCTTGTTGTGCGTTTAGAAAAAACGTCTTTAATTCATTTCATCGACAGCTTAAGAAAGCGGTCAGTTTGCAGTTAAAAAAAAGTGGGGGGGTTGGGGGGGGCGCAGCCCCCACCCCCATTTGCAAACCTTTCAACATGAGCTTTGCTTTGCTCGCTTTTACCCCCCTAAGCAATTTCATGTGGCTCCCCCTCTCTCCGTTCTCCAAAGAGATGCACGTTTTCGTTTTACTTTGTGTTCTTGGTCTTGCCCTTCCAAAGCGAGCACGTCTGGCTTTCGCCCTTTTGCCTGTCGGTGAAGACGCTTCTTTCGTGAGAAGAAAACGAGGGGGTTGGGGGGCGGCGCAGACCCCCCCCATTTGCAAACCTTCCAACATGAACTTTGTTTTGCTAGGTTTACCCCCCCTAAAGCGATTTCATGTGGCTTGACAACTCAAGAGAGCGGGCAGTTTGCAGTTAAAAAAAGCAGGGGGGTTGCGGGGGGCGCAGCCCCCGCTATTTGCAAACCTTCCAACATGAGCTGCGCTTTGCTCGCTTTCTGCCCCCCTAAAGCGATGTCATGTGTCTCGACAAGTTACGAAAGCGGGCAGTTCATGTGGCTTCTCCCTCTCTTTGTTTTCCAAAGAGACTCACGTTGTCGTTTGACCTTTGTTTTCTTGCTTCTTGCTCTTGGCTTTCCAAAGCGAATACATCTAGCTTTCGCTCTTTTGCCTGTCGGTGAAGACGTTTCATTCGTGAGAAATCTTACATTTTTCGAAATTTAAATCCCCTGAAGTGTTTTCGTGTGGCTTTGTCCTTGTTGTGCGTTTAGAAAAAACGTCTTTAATTCATTTCATCGACAGCTTAAGAAAGCGGGCAGGTTGCAGTTAAAGAACGGGGGGGGTTGAAGGGGGGGCGCAGCCACCCCCCAGTTGCAAACCTTCCAACATGAACTTTGCTCGCTTATACCCCCTAAAGCGATTTCATGTGGCTCAATTCTACCCCCGTAAAGCGATTCATGTGGCTGGAGAACTTAAGAAAGCGGGCGGTTTGCAGCTAAAAAAACCGGGGGGGTTGGGGGGGGCGCAGCCCCCCCCATTTGCAAACCTTTCAACATGAGCTTTGCTTTGCTGGCTTTTACCCCCCAACGCAATTTCATGCGGCTTCTCCCTCTCTCCGTTATCCAAAGAGACGCACGTCTTCGTTTTACTTGGTTTTATTGGTCTTGCCCTCTCAAGGCGAGCACGTCTGGCTTTCGCCCTTTTGCCTGTCGGTGAAGACGTTTCATTTGTGAAAATATTATCTGCTTTGCTTTTTTAACCGCCTGAAGCGTTTTCGTTGGGGGGGGGGACGAAACCCCCATTTGCAATGGGGGTTTCGAACCAACATGAGCTTTGCCTTGCTCGCCTTTACCCCCCTAAAGCGATTTCATGTGGCTTCTCCCTCTCTTCGTTTTCCAGAGAGACTCACGTTGTCGTTTTACCTTTGTTTCCTTGTTCTTGTCTTCCCACAGCGAGTACGTCTGGCTTTCGTCCCTTTGCCTGTCGGTGAAGACGTTTCATTCACGAGAAACTTCATCTTCTTCACTTTTTAAACCCCCCGGAAAGTGCGCAGTTTGCAGTTGAAAAAGAGGGGGGGGGTTGGGGGAGGCGCAGCCCCCGCCATTTGCAAACCTTCCAACATGAACTTTGTTTTGCTCGCTTTTACCCCCCTAAAGCGATTTCATGTGGCTCCTCCCTTTCTTCGTTATCCAAAGAGACGCACATTTTCGTTTTACTTTATTTTCTTGTGTTCTTGTTTTTGCCTTCCCAAAACGAGTACGTGTGGCTTTCGCCCTTTTGCCTGTCGGTGAAGACGTTTCATTCGTGAGAAATCTTACATTCTTCGAAATTTAAATCCCCTGAAGTGTTTTCGTGTGGCTTTGTCCTTGTTGTGCGTTTAGAAAAAAGTCTTTAAGTCATTTCATCGACAGCTTAAGAAAGCGGGCAGGTTGCAGTTAAAAAAGACACGGGGGTTGGGGGGGCCTTTCCTTCCATTTCCTTTCATTCCCTCTCCTCCTTCCCTCCTTTGCTCCTTCCCTCCTCCCTTTCGTGCTTCCCTCCTTCCTTCCTTCCTTCCTTCCTTTCTTCCTCCTTCCTTCCTTTCTTCCTTCCTTCCTTCCTTCCTGTCGTGGTTTCGGCTAGGTTATTTTTTTGATCCAAATTTAATTTTTTTGATCCAAATTTAAGTTTTTTCTGATGCCTATCCCCCTCTATCAACAGTCCCATAGCAGGGACTCCGCCAAAAATCCTAGTGACACGTTGGGAAAACATCCAGTCACCTGCTACAAGTGGCATGTCAGCTCATGCTCGTATCGAGAAGAGGGCGCCCATCCTGACGATAAGCCCAGGCTATGCTCTATGCTGTCCAGCGGCCTTGATGACCGGCTCGTCAGAAAGCCGGGGCGAAGATCCCTGCACAACTGAAAAGCATTCTGTTAGGATACTTCCTTGAGAAGCTGTCACAAGGCTCGACATGGACGGATGTTAATCTTGCGGAAGCGTTTTCTGGCTCTTCCTGCATGTGCGCCGCCTGCGCAATACTGCACATCCACACTGAGCGGGATTTCTTCTGGTGAGAGCGCGGATGGGCAGGAAATCCGCTTCGCCAGGCTCAAGCGTGAATCAAGCAATGCTGATGGGCACTCCATCCGACAACACGATAACAATTTGAAGAAAACCTGCAACCCTGCACTGCCCTGCACCACTACCACGAATCCAATGACCGAAATTGAAGCAAGAACAGAAAGTCTCAGTGCTGATCCAGAACTCCGGGGACTTTGAAGTTGCTCACCCCTTCGCAACTGCAAGGGCATGTCCGTGTTCTTCGGGCTAGCCCTCTTGCAACTCACACTCGGCCAAGGAATACCCTGCTGCTGTTACCAGTACAAGACGCACTCAGGAACTCAGCAAATGTTCCCGACATGCTTGCAGGAACCCCATGAAAACTCACACGCATTTTACCCGTCAGCGAAACCTTTATGCCACGAGTCAGCATGAGCCCATGCAGCGTTGTGTAGGGATGAAGCTAAGCAGTCCCGAATCCACGAAGGTGCCCAGGCAAGGAACTAGAAAGCAAAAGACTAAAGAAGTACCTCCGAGTCACGCCTTCGCGCTTCGGGCAATCATTCACCCCTCCAACCCTTCTGTTTCGTTTCAGCCAAGTGCACCTTCGTCACCAAGTGCGTAAGAAGCTGCTGAACGCTCTGCAGCTGCGACTGCAGTAGACCCAGCTGCTGCTGCTGCTGGCCTTAGAGGACACGGCTACGGGATAAAGCAAAATTAGGAGCGGAAAATCAGTCAGTACAGACGTGAAATGTCTAGACTAGCTGCTAGCCAGTGTTCCTCCATGCTCACACACACTCGAACAGAGGACAAGAAAGGAGGCTGATTCCAAGAAGACGTGAAGACACGATATGGCATCGCCTTCCAAGTTTCGCGTGCGCTCCATTCTGCGAGAAATGCGACAACTGGACATTCACACTCTGTAGTAGACCGCTTGAGCAGCTCAGCTCTCTGCCCACAATCTGTCTCAAAGAAATACCGTCCTCGCGAGATGCATCAGACCTGGAAGGGCCCCAGAATGAACACCTGCGAAAAAGTGTGGTAATTTATGATGAAGTTTCGGCGTCGTCCGCTCGTCAAAAGTCTGGGACAAAGTTGCCACCTACCCTCGCCTCCGGGATGAAGGTGTCGATGGCTGCACAGCAGGTGTGGAGAAGCGCCCTTTGCTGGGACTGGTGCCTTCCAGAGGCCGTTGAAGGCTGCGTGCATCGATCCAAGCTACTGACTGCGGACATGCGGCATAAGTCTGCTCCAGGCGTCCACAGATGCGTTTGAGGCGGCACGTCTGGTGGCGACGGTGCTGGGCGACGCAGTCCACAATTGCTGCAGAAGGCAGCTTCGCCGAGGAAGCCTCACTGCACACACTGGCACACCTGCATGCACTTGCAGCACTTGCAGCACTTGCATGAATCATGCGCAGAATCTTCAAATCGTGCTGAGGAGCTGGTGCCACAGCGTCGGCACTCCTCTGCTGCCGGCCGGGGCAAAACTCTTCTCGGCTCTTCGGCTTCCCCGGGCCGCGCGAGAGGCGGCCTCGGCGGCGGCATGCGGAGAGATGCGGAGAGTGCGGCCATGGCGGCCATGCCCATGCCGAGCGCCGCTGAGCGCCGCACGTCGAAGCTTCTGCGGCAGCGGCAGTCCCAGTCTCAGTCCTGCCGCTTTGCCGCTGTCGCCCTGCTGGCGCCAGTTACCGCAAGACTATGCCACCACCGTATGCCCCCCACTTACACTCTCGTATGATCGTTCAGAGGTCACGCGGCTTCTTGGCGTCTCTTCTCGACGTGGCAACTTCTGCGCTCCTCAGCTCCAGTGGCCCGGAGGCGGTGTCCGCCTCCGCAGCTTCCGCCTCAGGGCCCCCCGCGCGGCGCGTACGAATCTAAGGGTATATAATCTGCAGGCTGAGCTGCATGTCGAGTGCATTCAGCTACCGGTACTGCCCTGATGCCTCCTCACTTTGGGTTGATCGCGGCTCTGCCTCCCAAGCCGGCGAAAGAAGAACCTGGCTTTGGGAGCATGGTCTGAAAGCTCAGCATTGGAATGTTGGAGCTTTAGGGGCTTCCAGCTATCGATTTCACGAAACGAAATCTCCCTGGCAAACAGCTTACTTCCAGGAGCCCCATGACGTAAGCTCCTGTCACGAAATGAAAAAGAGCAGAGACTCAGGTTGACTCTTACAGAGCCTGTCTCCATGCGACCTCAAACCGCAACATCTCATGAAAACGACTGACTGTTGCAGATGTGGTAGGACACGTTGGAGTGCGCCAGCGCAAGTTGTCGACAACGCAGACTTGGATTGAATTAGGAACCTCTGGCGACGCCACGGCTCCTCCAGCGATCTTCGCCAGCTCCCGTTGGTCGGCCTGCAAGGTTACATGCAGTAAGGTAAAGATTGTCAGATAGTGAGTGGCAAGTTTGAGGTCCAAGACTCCATAAGTTTCAAACCCAGCTACACTGCGGCGTTGACTGCTCCCAAGCGGCCGTAAAGGTGTCCAGGAACATCAATTCGGGAATGCGACCAGCCTCGCCAATGTTGAAAAAGGCTAGGGCGAACAGTCCGGCTTCGACGAGAGCCCAGTCTCTGACATCTCAGATTTAGCGACAATGGACAGCTGCTCTGCTCCTAACTTGCAAATCGACTCCCTTGCTGACGAGACCTGGTCCTCGTCGAAATCCACGGACGCAAGGTACAGCCCCTGGCAGAGCAGGATGAGTTAGGGCTCTGCTGAGTGCGGTGGACCCCGCAGGGCTTCAAAGACATCCGACTTCCGAGATTCAGATTCTACATGACTCAGGATACAATTTCGTTGAGCACCGCCAGTCCTCTTCGCCAGGGACATCCTCGAAGCGAAATTCTGAGAACCTTAGCCACGTGAGTCTAAGACACCTTCTGCTTGTGCCATGTATTCCACCGCGCAGCAACAGCTGCGTTGATCGGGAGCTTGCCGGCGTCGCCCTGGCCGACACTTTCGTGCTTAGCTTATGAGGGGCTTGACCAAGGCACGCTTCCCAAGCACAAGCACTCGGCCTGGTTTGGACGACTGACATGACAAGAAAGGTATCCTTCTCAACCCAAACCTGGCAGTGTCGAGTGTCAGGCACAGTCAGGCCTACAACTCCTTCGAGGAGCTGCAATGACGGAGAACTCAGAGACCTGACCTGACACGGCCTTTCTTCGCTCAGGCCGAAACTTTCTCCCGTGCTTGCCTCACAGGTCTGGTGCGACACGGAACCAACATCCATCGAATCTTTGTGAACCCTTGTTGGGAACCTTTTGCATTTGCATCAGTGGCGAACCTCCGCTTGACGAAGTGAGCAGCCGCTGCCCAGGCAGCTGGCGAGCCTGCTGGGCTCTGTAGATCCTCCAGGGATGAAAGAACTCTGAGAGGCTTTCATCGGCTACGCAAAGTGCGGATGTCGGCAAAGGCCCGCCTCGTGAGTCTCGTGCCTTTGGTCGACCCAAACCCCGACCAGCGGCACCTCGCGACCGTTCCCTCAAAAGGGCCTAGGCCTAGGCCTGAACCCTCTCGATAAGATCCCGGGGCCTCCTGTGCGAGGGCCTCGTCCTGAAGGAGGCAGAGCAAACGGCGGCCCTGATCCAAAGTCAGGAGCCCAAAGCCTCGGTGGAGCATATTCTCCTATCTCTAGGTGTGGGCACCCACCCTTCTCTGCAGTGAAAGCTTTGGGCCGTAGCCCATCGACGTTGCCGGCTCGGGCATCAGCAGAGTCTGCCGAGATGTGTGAAGGGGCTTCATAGCGAGAGCTACGCCCTTCAAGCAACGCAACTGCTGATCGAAATCTGCAACAACTGCAGAAGCAGCTGCTTCCGAGCCGACTCTGAAAAATCAACCTGATGGTTTTACTCCACAACACATCTCTGCACTTCCAAGTAGACCTGCAGCAGTGGCGTCTCGAGCGTCCGCAACGGCCTGGATCTAGTCAAACACTGGCAACATGGCATGAAGCCTTGGGTTCCACAAAGACGAGCGTCGAGAAGTGTTTTAAATGTGACTACAGCTGAATACAGCTCGTAGACTTGACATAGGGCCTTTCAATGGAAAACCCAAACTCGTCGCGATCGGGACAAGGGCATCCCGAAAAATGCCAAAACCTCGTGTTTTCCAAGCAAGACAATGGTATCACATGGTCTTGTCAAGTTCCAACGACACAGTCTCCGTTGCTTTGTACAGACGCCGTGCAGCGAATTTTCTCTCCCAGAACTGCCAGTGTAAACCAACTTACCATTTGCTTGCAACAATTGACTTAATGAGCGAGTCTTTGACATTCTTCCTATTCGCAGGTTTGGGTCTTGCATCATGTTTAGCTTTTCGTTCACGGCGGCGAGTGTTTCTGTTTTGGAATAACAAGAATCCGATGTTGGAGGCTTTCCCAAGATTGGCTGCGAGAGACCTTTCGAATGACATCGCAGAAAACGTCGACAAGTCGAAAAGACTTAAACAAAAACCTGAAAGTGCAGAAAAGTTGGACAAGCGCAGGAAAAAAGCGAAAGGCCGAAAGGCTATCATTTTTAGACTTGAAGTACAACTTTTTTGAGATTTGGTTCGGTTCGAAACTAGCGGGATCCAACGCGTGCTTGCGTGCTTAGAGGGCGAGGGGATGTTCGTGGCTGAAACAGGCACTGCATGCTCTTTCGACTCGTCGCCTTGCCAGGGCGGTGACGTAAAAGCTCCATTGCGGATACCTTTCAGAGTCAGCGGAGAGTTCTGAGACGGCTGAGCACTGACGATTGAAGCGACCGGCTCGCGCAGAAGACAGAACGAACATGATGGACATGTGTAACATGAGCAAAGATGCGGTGTCACAACTACTTAGCCGCCACATGCCGCCACCATGAGCCAAGCACAACTCAAGCATGCGAGGGTGGGCACAACGCGGTCAAGCGAAGTCTGACCTTTCTCTGCACCGGGTCAGAGGAAAGGACTCCCACCTGGGCCAGCGATGGGATCTGGCTTCAAAATCCAAAATGCCAGAAGCCTATTGCATTAAATGCAGGCAGCTACCACCCGTACATGCATGCATGCGTTTTTACATCGCATCAGTGACGATCCACGATGTAGTCTCGCTCGGCACGTCCTCACGATCCAACATATGTTGCAACTTACAACTCCGGACCTGCTTGTCGATGGCATCGTTCTCGATGCCATCCCACGGTCCCAAAACAGGCTGGCTTGGCGATCATCATCTTAAGACACTCTTCACAGCTGATCTGTCCGCTGCCGGACGATGTCAGTGAAGATCGACAAGCAACCGGACACAGTCGACCTGGTACTGATGAGGATCACACAATCCACCTCAGCCTCTCTGATCATCAAACGTCCACCTCCTCGTCGGTCGTCTTCTTACCTGACGTGAAGGAAGTGATGGTACTGGTAGAGTGGTAGAGCCCATCACAACGAACAAGTGAGGGTCTGAGCTAGAACCTGGAATGGAAAACCTTCGATGATTTGTGCTTTTTGGACGTTGAGCTTCGGATGAAACCCACGCCGGAACTTCCACTGCCAAAAACAAGCACGGGAAGATACGAGCATAGGAATCTTCGCAAAACTGAGGTGTCGGCCCAGATTCACGAGCACATGTCGACACCGATTAGGCCGTCTCCATCGCGATCCAAGACCATGAACGCCTCGATCACCTCCTTTTCTGTGTCGCTGTCGCAGATACTGGTATTTTCATGCGTCTCCGTCATCTTCGGGACCGTTAATCACGAGAACTCGGCAATTGCCATCATCGACCCAAGAACCAGAGTCCAAAGCTCCCACGACTCCCATCAAGCATCGTTACGGCTTCGCTAACTTAGTGGCAGGCGTGCAGGGCCTTGCCGGCAAGGGCAGATCACGTCCTGCCCTCTGCAGGATTCAGGTGGGGATCACCATGCTCAGCGGACCGAGCTCAGGCTCTTCTTCTCTTTTGTTCCCTGCTTCGGTGGTGATGGTACCATCGCCTTGTCAAAGAAGGCGAAGACTACCTCGAAGAATTTCGTTGCTGTTGAGCCGTGGCCGTCAGATGATCCGCGTGCGACGAGCACTTCGATTGGAAGTTCTCATTCAGCTGATCAGCCATGGCGAAATCCAACGAGGAGAAGGGTAGCGGGTGCGGTGTCTGCGGGGCATGCAAGCCTGTTCGAGCAAAAGCACATGATCTTGACGCGGCTGGGGCTCATGTTTATTCGTGCTCGGATATCGATACATACTGATGTACACATTGATATGCCAGAGCCCATACGAGTGCTTGTCAGCTTTTTCCTCAGCTACTGGTCTCGGGCGGCGGAAACCGCTTCACATATGCACCGCGCAAGATGGCCGACCAGGTATTCAGCTCGCCTCCGCAGCTCGGCAGAGGGCCGACAGAGGACAAGTGACATGAACAGCAGACAAGTCGCCCAGGAAGGGCAACACATAGCAGAGTGCAAAAACTGCGTGGAAATAGGCATAGGAAGCCCTTAGCTCCACAGGATGCATGGGACAGTCTTGCCACACGGACACTGCATGACACTGCGAAGTCCTCCGAGTAGATGCAACCCAGAAACTGCATCACCAAGAACAGGACTAGCACCAAAGAGCCTTACATGCTTTCCATGGCAGAAGGGCAGACCGACTTCACTGTCACAGCAGGGACGAGGCACCGCCCAAGTGCAGCATCGCACCGAAGAAGTTCAACGCCTGTGCATCCGCTGAGTCCGCGTTTGCACACCTCCTTCTGGGATCCGTAACATCTGCTGACGAGATTGGGCTCAACAGCTGTGCGTAAGACAGAACTGCCTCCTGCTGTGAGCAATGGACTGCAGTCAGCATTGAGACAAGCTCCAGAACCAGGAAGGCAATGGAAGCAGAACTCGGTTCAGGAAGTATCGAAACGGCTGCAACGGTGCGGCCTGGTTTGCGTTCCAGCGGCAGCTCCCTGTAAAAGATGGACTCCGAGGCCTGCACAGCCCGGCCACGCATGGCGACGCATGGCCAAGCTATCAGCGCAGAAAGCGGAGATGGACGCAGGGCTTACTACGTTTTACGCTGCCCAGCCTGCCAGGAGTCGCGGCAGCCGGCTGACAACTCATCCAAGATTACACAGTTGCCCTGGATCAAGACGCGAACAAGTTGATTGTCGTGTGACCCGGATTCCTGCACTAGTATCTCCACTGCGTACGTTCTTTCTAACACTGCCTGGCGACAAGCTGCGGGCATCCGGAGTGCCTTCCATCTGTGAAGACCGCATGGGGCGAGACATGAACGTGGCGGTGGGCGGGAATTGAAGACTTCCAAGCAGACTCGGATCTCGCATGTCTTTAAGTGCCCTCCTCGATCGCAACTTGCACGGTGGACCGCTTGTTGACATGTGACAAGCCTCAATAGTTTCCTGCATTGTCCTGCGAACCGAACACTGTCTTGAAGCGCCTGCTGCACACAGGAGCCACTCAGGGCTGCGAGGATGTGAAACGGCCGAGCCTGGAGCACCTGCAGTGGCAGTCACGGTTGCGAAACCAACAAAGCGAGGAAGCGGAAGCTTCCGGCTTTTTTGCTCTGTTTGGCCGAGGACTCGGCATTGACAGTCAAGGCCAGGTGCACGCTTACTGCAGCAAAGCGTGCCTGAGTGGCAACTAATACCCGGTCCATGTGTCCCTCGGGCACTGCCAAGCCACGGCCAGGTACTCCTGGTTCAATTTTTCCATAATGTTGCCGCGACCTGCCCCGGGACCATGCCCACATCTTCTGTCCGCACGAGACTCGAGTTGGCCCTGCTGAAATCGGCCAAGCCGAGGTCCTAGCTTAACATGCCCAAAACCGAAGTTTCGCCACTGAACTGAGGAAGCGTTCACGTCAGCTCTAGTCTCTCCAGGCTCAACCCCATTCGTTTCAAGACGCAGACATGACAGTACGGGGGACCCCTTACTTTCAGAAAAAGAGTTCTCTGCGTCGCTTCAGCCTCCAAGATCGCAGCAATACTTCACCTCAGCCCATCGCCTTCGACCACCGTTACAGAAGCGTCGCTCGAGTGGCTGGTGTCGTGACTTGCACATGTCCTCATATCGCATGCAGCAAAGTGTTGCTTTGGATCTCGTTACAGGACCAGACTCAGAGCCCTCTTTTGGCAAATGGCAATCATGGCCGCTCAGTACTTTGAACTTGGCGGCAGCTGCAGGTCCGCAACATGTTTCATCACGACATGCCAAAGCATATTCAACGTAGTACCTAGAACCACGGTATCAATGAAGGCAGAATGTCGGCCCGGATTATGGTTTCAGCTGCAGCTGTCGACCATATCGGCACCTGCCACCCCGAAACAACCATGAAGAAGCTTTCGTGCTAGCTTGTTGCCTCCCAAGCTGAAAAAGCCTTCTCATCGCTGGGCATCACACCCAGCGGTACAGGAGCCATGGCATAGATGGCTCCGCCGTGCAATCCACGCCTGCTCCGAAAATGTAATAACTTATGCTCAGTCGAACGAAACAAGCATTGGGCGTCCTGGGTCCCGTCTGGCCTGGTCTCTGCCGAAGCTGTGCCACTAGTCTTTGCGCCGTGGCCGCGGATACGTGGAATTGCCTAGTCGTGACAGGCTGCAAACGGACTTTCCGGCGCCCGACTTGATTCTGATGCGGTTGCCGTCACAGTACACGTAAGCCGAGCTCGCCTTCGTCTGGAAGCAGAACCTGAACAGAATAAAACACCAAGATGAAGTGCAAATGTTGCAATAAGCAACAACCACGAAAACAATCCCGGCATGTTGCATGGATGCAGCAATGTCCTAGCTTCGCGTTGTTTCTTGCACCTATCATGATGGCCAAGCACCTGCTTCTCGAAGGCCATCCTCGTTCCAGAAAGCTCCAGACGAAGCATCATGCGAGACGCCTCATGTTTCTTCTGCTTGTCTGAACAGCTCATCAACGTGAGAACACCTAGAATTTACGCCGTCCGATCGAGCCTCCTGTTGAGGTTCCCAGGCCTGCTTCGACAGGCCTCCAAACCAAGATGGTCCGGGTTCAAAGAGCTCAGCAGTTCAGGATTCCTACACGTTGCTTTTCTTTACATTCTCACATGTTCTCCAAACACATTGGTGCAGGTAACACTATGAGGCTCTTATGTTGGAAGTTGCCCAAACAAAGTGGTGGCAATATGGAAGTTTTACAAACATTCAGGCGACACTACAGGATTACTTGAAACAGCGTCGGCAACACTAGTTCCTTATACAGCGTGGCAAGCCTATGAGGTTCTCTTGTGGGATTTCCCAAAACACTACTGCGGGCACCGTGCATCGAAACAGAATTACGAATGGGGTGGGTGACCGTGGGGACCTCCTCGAGTTCGTGAGTATGCAGTGCTTGGACTGTCACGTCCTTTTCTGTGCATCGGCCAGCGAATGCAGCGAAAGCTTCGGCCATGTCGATGAGGAAAATCATGTCCACGACATGGGGTCAAGGTAACATGTGCGAACGGCTCCGAAATCATGGCTGGCAGGCTGGTATCTCAATCATGCCTCGTCTCAGGTACTGCCAGAACTGGCACCGTGACCTGCGGTACGATGTACGAGTGCATCATAGGAGCAGGTTCACTATCTATAGTTTGCGGTGCAAGAGAATCAACTCTGCTGTGAGACATGTCGCACCTCGCCACGACCACTGCTACAGTCGGCAACCAGGAGCAATGAACTCCTGAGGGGCAGCATTCACGAGCTGAGACAAGATTTTCCGGTGTGACCGGCTCATCACTGAGCAGAGAGTCGAACGGATCGGCCTCCTGTAGCTGGCCTTCTCCGATACTTTGGCTCCACCTTGCTAATGTGTCAGACGGCGACTTGATAGGCATCGGTACGAAGGATTCGGTGCATCAGTGCTGCATGGAAGTGCCTTCCTACCTGATTGCACATTGCTCAAGAAGCTAGTGTCTCAGACCGCAGCGCAGGAGCAGGTGAAGGTCCTGCAAAAAGCCAGTGCCACAAAATGCATGCGGCTGAAGCTCAGTGATCTCAACCCTCGGGGCAGAATCATCCATTTAACGAAGCGGCGATGTGGCATGGGTGATGTCAGGCAGCAGAATGGTTCGCGTTGGCATCAGAAACCTAGCTGAAATGCTCCACTGTTCTTCAGCAGAGTAAGCTGCCTTTCTTTGAGGCGATCTGATGTGCGGCAAATTTAACATGCGAGACCACATGGAGGCTCAGCCACGCAAATATGTAACCTAAACCGCGATATATGTACAGGCAGAGGGCACTGCTTCATGCCCCTGTCAACACAGCGTCATCAAGTCCCGATTCGGACCTGCATTTTTGGCTTCAGCATCCAAAGCTGGTAGGCAATGCGTTTCATGGGCGCAAACTACCAGCCTTCAAGTTGGAGGCCGTGCTTCAAATGAACACGACATCATCGGCGGGCACGTTATGCTTCTTGACCAAAAGATCCCAAAACCTCCGGGAGCCAGAAGTTGACAGGATTTGCTGCTACGACCGTCGTCATGATACAGCAACCCGATTGCTGTCAGCTCTTCATTGCGACACAGCAGCTTGTGATAAAACCTCAGCAGAATCTTCGGCTTGAAGCATCATCGTGGGGCTTGTTGGCTGTTAGCAACTCAATCAAATTTATGAACATGAACACTGAGGATCCCTGTACAGGACAAACGCACGGCGCAGGTCACGGCAGAAAGCGCAGCACACCTACCCACTTTGACGTACTGGTACAGTTGGTACAAGCCAGGATGAACATTACAGCTTAGCATGCCGAGCTAGAACCCTAAGTTCTTCAAGTCTTGTGCAGACACATGCAGTGCAGCCAACGCGTGAAATCGCAAGATTTCCAACTCTAGTCAAGTCAAAAACTTCAACAGCAAGACAGGAAATTTCGAAGAATAGCAGAGATTTAATCTGTCCTGTCGAGTCTGTTTGGGCATCTCCCGGATGTACATGAATCCACCCATGTCACACCCAACAGCCGAATAGACAGCACTCCGCCGTCCCCCTCAGGCCTATCACAAGTAAACCTTCGTCAATACAATACGTCCAGACGTCCAGTTTCACTAAGGCGGACAAGCAGCTGCACCTCCGCCGAGAGTTCTCTCCTGAAGCGAGGTGAGGCAGGCGTGGCAGTAAGCACATCGCAGCCTCTTCGCCCTCTTCTCTTCTCAACTCCGAGCGTCGATGGGTCGCCACCACCACGAGCTTTAGCAATTTGCGCTTTCCTGACAGCAGCATGTATTGGAAAAAAGCTGAGGAAGAAGAGCTGTTGCGGAGGTTCCTGAGAAGCACATCCACCTGAGGGCCTATTCCTCGGCACATCAACTTTGCAGAACAAGCTTCAGAACTCCGATCTTGTGGATAGCATTTTCGTGGGTCCTTTCGACGGTGTCCTGCACCGGAAATCTGGGAGCGCAACAATGCAGACACTTACCAGTTTCGAGCATGAAGGAGCTGGCAACATGATTTCGGGAAATGGCCACTTGTTGTGACACTGACCCCCTTTTCTATCTATGTTCAACGACTTTCTGCATTTACGAAACTACTTATCGAAGATGGCAAGGCCGACTACTTGTTGCATGGACCGACATTCAATTCAGACCGGCCATCATGATGCGATCGGTAAAACGCCGTTCTGCACACAAACTAAGAAACCAAACCTAGACAGTGCCTTATACGCCTTGTCCCATGTTGAAGAAAATCCTACTGGTGGTGGCTTGTGCCGCTGGCCAGGCAGTTTTGGAGAAGCAACCGTGTTGTTTGCAGCACGAAGTAATAAGTGACTTCCACCTGCCATCCAGCTCTCAGGGCGTCACGTCGCCACTGACGCTCCTCTGTTAGTGATGTAGCCAGCTCCATCTTAGCAAAAAATTTCTATGCGATTTTCTGGGAGCCAGGTCATGGGCACCCGCGCTCCCGTGGACGAGTACTGGCCTGCAAGGAGCGATCGTCACTTCGATTCGACGCTCATGAATTCGCAGGGCTTTCCTGACACCGGAAGAGCGCATGTTTGAAACGTTTGTGCCACGATGCTACACACGCACATTCCAATCGAACGGCACTGCTGACATGTCATCACCTCAATCAAAAATGAAATCAACCTCATGTTTGGACGAAATTATGCCTCGCATATGCCGTCCCCAGCCTAGCTAGGGACAAATTCTTTTAGCACGTCAACAAGTTCATGCTGCCCTTCAAGGGACAACATCACTGACGTGTTTGCAGCCATGCAGAATCACTCATGCACACATCCGCACACCTTCTGACCTCAACTTATCGCTGTTGCTCGCACCGGCCGGGGACAAAGTGTGGATTTTCTGAAGCTTCGAGGTGTCATCCCCAGCCGAGCTGCAAGGACCACTCCCCACCCAGCTACACATGCATGCCCCACTGCAGCAGCATGTTGCAGGAGGTGGACTTGTTGACCTGTTTGAACTTTTTCCTCGAGACTAGCAGCACTGCGGCACCGAGCTGTCTGAGGCCACACAGATGCAGGGGTTAAGCTTTCGATATGAGAGCATACGAGAACCTCGGAAGGCTGCAAAACTACCAACCACATGCCCGACGCGCAGATTTCGAGAAAAGTTCCCAAGTCCAATCCAGCCCAAGTCCGGCAAAAAAGACAACACGGCACGTGAACATAGCCGTGTAAGAAACACAACAACACCGACAGGTGCTCTGACTATTGGGAGCTGTCGAATCGCGTTTGTTTGGTGTCATGAGAAACGAAAGAACCGAGAACAAGCCCAAGACTCGTGGACTAGACTGGTTCCGCACCCGGTAACCGGCGCCCTAGCTGCCCCTGTCCATCAAGTTAATGGACATGCGCACGTTGTCCAAGGGACCTGAGACGATCCGCAGAACAGCATTGACATTGACAGCCCAACTAACTCCAGTGTCAATGCTGATAGAGCGGCTTTTGTTCGACCATGCGCTGTCTCTCCGCTGCCTGCGGAAATTCGACCACCCGCCTTGGACAGGTTGCAAATTTCTGTCATCATGCGACAGCACACCCAACCTTGAGCAATGTCCGCAATCTGGACTAGGTTCTGCTTCACCTCCGACACCTGATAACGACTTGTGCAAAGCAACTTGTCCACCGATCACCACACACTTCCGGATGGGGGCGACCACAAGCTTTTGCTGCTGAGCACCCAGCTTCGTCTTTCGCGAAGCTCATGACGCTTTGGCCATGAGCCTTGCTCACCTCCATAAGCCAATAGCATGGACTCCCCAACATGCTCCTCACAACTCAAGCTGAGCTCATGACGAGATCGGTCAGCAGGTTAGTTCCACCAAGTCCTTCGAGAAGCAGCCGAGCCGGCCGAGCCACCACTTGCAAGAAATCTGGAAGCTTCACCGAAGTCACAGCCGAGCAGCTTGCGAAGCCCTGAATGCTCGCCAGAAGCAGGATCAAATCCAGGAGGACATAGCAGT